ATGATGCTGCTTGGCCTGCTGTGTTCATCCAGCCCTGCACCTTGTTGACATTCCTTAATCCTTGTTTCTATAAATATCTTGCCTGCTCTGTATTTTTCAACTTCATTGGAGGCCTTCATCTATGACCATAGCCCTTTACTCAACAAAATAGACGGGTAATGTTGGAGGAGAAGGCCCAGCTTCAAGGGAACACTAACTTGCCATTCGCTATTATTTCTTGGGAACAGAATAGAAGAACATGCACTGAGGCTGTATTGTGTAATGCCTTGAATAGTCAAAACATCAGCTGGAAGATGATTTCAATAAGTTTGGTGATAATCTTCAAGGTGACCTTATTGAATGCCTGGTTGCAACATGCTTTCACTCCAGGAAGATCAGATCCGGTTATTTTTCCTCAGAAGATGCTATTTCTGAAACCACAAGCAATTCTCCTCATCTACAAATACTGATTGACACACATTCCTCCAGTCATGTATCATCCATGACAAAACAATCTTTTCATTTGTTTTCATCTTCTATTATCTTTTCTTTTAAGGAAAAGTTTCTTCCAGTTCCATTTAAACAAATTGATAGCAGGGATGAAAACCTCTAATTATGAAGCAAAACTCGGAATAATTGAGCAATTTCCATTGGAACAGAAGTGGCTGGTGTATGTAACTAGATGCTTTTAAAATGACAAAGGGCTTTGACAAGAAAAGAGGGAAAGGAGTGTTATCTAATCATGAAGTAAGTGATGACAGCCATTGATTGAAACTGGCATTAGTAATGAAAGATAAGAGATTAGTAGCTATTTCTTCCCTCAGAGTTGTTGCTCATTGGAATGCTTTGCCACAGGACTTGTTCAGGCAAGCAGCTTTTCCATTTTTTAGAAAAAACAAACACCACATAAATATCTACAGTAGTGAAAAAGAATGAGGTATTGAGAATAAATTTGAATTTCCCCAGGGGGATAAAATGACTTGAGAAAAGGGCCAAATCACATTCTTCTGTTATGCAAATATATTTGATTCGTAGCCAAAACTCTGCTGTCTTTCAGGGTCCATCAGCAGTTAGCATCTAAGGCCAAAGCCAGGATTGTTTCTGCTGCTGGGACATGTTGTTGAGTAGCTCAGACTAACTCACTTCTTTTTCTGCGTCCCTGACCCTCTTTCCTCCTCTCTTCCCACTTTTTTGGAAACAGCTGGCCCCACTCCTCACTCCCTGGATATTTCCAGTCAGATTGAAAAATAAAAACTTGCAAGTTTAACAACTTTCATTGGCAGATTTCATCTATCCTTTGAGGTTCAGCCCATGCAGAGATTTGCAGTCCATCATTTCATTACCATAATTGGATTGATTCACAGTTATAGAATGAGATGCAATTGCACAGCAGTCTTGATCCAGTTAGGAAAATAATGTCAGGTCACTTGAATCTTTTTCTGTCTTATAAAAGGCAGTGTTTGCTGACATTGGCAATGGTGGGCAACTATACATTTTCACTTATTCGGGAATATGCAGGTGCTTGGTTCCAACACTGCATGCCACCACACAGACTTTACATGTAAAGTAACATGTAGCGTCATGCGTGAATGCAGTGCTGTGCATGCATGTTGAACTGGGGTTCAAAGGTGAAGACGCAAGACCAGGGGTAGTTTCCCAGGATGAGGAGGGAAGACAGCCTAGGACCAAGGCAGGTGGAGGTAGGTGGGCAACAAAGAGGGCCCAGGAGTCAGGAGACCCTTTCCCCCTTCTGTCTCCCTTCTTCTGCACTTCCCCTGGTTCTCTTCCAGGTCCCAATGCAATCCCACACTGCTCCTGATCTCGCCCCTCCTCCAGCCATATCCCCCAGATAACCCACACACATGTGATTCAAAGTGGCACATTGCACACATGCTGGTGTCAGCAAACACAGCCATTATAGAAAAGGCTGTAGAAAAATTAATCCCCTTACTTCCTTTCTCATTGAAGCTGTAGCAGTCAGTATTGTCATGGAATTGTTTTATCCTGATGTGTATGTACAAAGAAAATTTGAGTTTGTGCAGGTCCCTCTTTTAAAAGCCAGTCCTGATGTCCACAGGTGTATTTTCTGGCCGGTACCACAGGCTTTCAAACAGCCGTGAGAACTTTGCTCAATAACTGAAAATAAAAGCAATTAATTAGAGTCATAGAGTTATACCGTATGGAAACAGACCCTTCGTCCATGCTGACCAGATATCCCAAACTAATCTAGTCCCATTTGCCAGCATTTGGCCCATATCCTCTAAACTCTTCCTATTCATGTACTGATTCAGATGCCTTTTAAATGTTGTCATTGTACCCGAATCCATCACTTCCTCTGGCAAATCATTCCATACATGCCCCACCCTCTGTATGCAAAAGTTGCCCCTTAGGTCCCTTTTGTATCTTTCCCGTTTCACCTTAAACCTATGATTTCTAGGTTTGGACTCCAACCCCCTCCCCACCCCGGGAAAAAGACCTTGGCTATTCACCCTTTCTATTCCCATCATGATTTTATAAATCTCTACAAGATCACCCTCAGCCTCTAATGCTCCAGGGAGAAAAGCCCCAACCTATTCAGCTTCTCCCTATAACTCAAAACTTCCAGTCCCTGCAACATTCTTGTAAATCTTTTCTGAACCCTTTCAAGTTTGTCAACACCTTTCCTATAGCAGGGAGACCAGAATTACACGCAGTATTCCAAAACTGGCCTAACCAATGTCCTGTACAGCCGCAACATGATGTCTCAATTCCTATACTCTGCGCTGATCAATGAAGGCAAGCATACCGAATGCTTTCTTCATGACCCTGTCCACCTCTGACTCCTCTTTCAAGGAAATGTGCACTTGCACCTTTTTTCAGCATCACTCCCCAGGACCGTGCCGTTAAATGTATAAGTCCTGCCCTGTTTTGCCTGACCAAAATGCAACACCTCAAATTTATCTAAATCTAAATCTAAATTTGCCACTCCTCAGCCTCTTGGCCCATCTGATCAACGTCCCATTGTACTCTGAGATAACCTTCTTCACTATGCATTACACCACCAATTTTGGTGTCATCTGAAAACTTACTAACTATACCTCCCATAATTCACATCCAAACCATTTATTCTTCAGTTTTGTTTCATAGTTTCCACACATTAATCCAGACCTGTGGAACTGATTAATTATTTCTTGTCTCAGATTAATCTACACCCTGGCTTCAGCTCTCGATGGATCTACACTCAGAGATGGAGTTGTTTGTGGGGGAGCAGTGATGCTGGGAGGACTTTCCTAAATAGTGGAGTCAAATGGAGAGTTAACAACGATATTAATAAAGGCTTGTAGCTTGTAAGATCAATTCCTATTCTGCTGAACTTACAGATTTCAGATCAAGCAGCAGTAAAGGGCTGATCTCTGAGTGTAAAATATGCCTCCAATCTCAATTACCTGTGAGTGAATCCTGCTAGAAAATCCCTCTGTGAGAGTGTTGGGTGTTGAGAATGCTTCTGATGCATTCTATGGTAGAATAGCTCGCTGTCCCAGTTTATGCACCAGTTTAGAAACAATGACTTTCAGAAGATGGGCTGACCATTTTAAAACAATTATGATTTTGTTCATTTTAGTGTAACAGTTTGGAGTCCAGTTTTTGACCAAGCTCAGTTGTGATAGGTGATTGTGAGGCTGTACCACTGACTTCATACTAATCATTTCATTTCATCTTTTCCAGGTGACTACCGTTTTTTTGGACATGTACTTAGAAGTTTGGTAGGTATTCTGATGAAGCTGAAGGTTTTAGTTCCAGTGATTTTCATGATAGATCTCTGATCTCAGGCTGTACTGGAGAAAAAGGGCAGCCGAGACTCTGAGGAAATAACAGAAGCAAACATACCAGCTGTTTCTCTGGGGTTTCTGCTGAAATTACAGCAGGAAATCAAGAAAACCATGTGGAACTTCCAACTTGTGCTCAATGAAGGAGGCGAATCTTTTGAAAGAACAGGGAGGTGTTTCAAGGTGTAATGAACTTGTCTTTTTAGATTGATTTCAATGCATTGCATTTAACTTCTTGCCATGTGAAATCACCTACTGACAGTCCCTGCGCAGGGTTGCATGAGAAATGTTAGGGTGAGCATGCTAGTGAAGAATCAAAAGGCAATTTTGTGGACTGAGACTGTGTCCTTTGGAGAGGCAGCTGAGCACATTGGGACAATACATCATACAATTGATCTCCTCCAAGATGAGTGCAAGTGTAGTCATGGGGTGGAGACGGGCAGAGTTAAGCAAAGGGGTCGGACTTAATTCAGCCATAAGCATGAAGTCCTATATTTAGTCTTTATTTTAAGATTCCCTATGTCTGGCGAATAAGCATTCTCCCCACGGAGACTGCCAGTGTGGAGGGGTTTTGCATGAGGTGGGAGATGTGGTGGAGGGATGGGTGTTAGGGAACAGGGTATTGGGGAGGGTGGTGAGAAGTTGAGGAAAAATAATAGGTGGAGGAGATTGAGAAAGGTAGAAGGAAGTCAGGATATAGCAAGAGAGGCTGGGAATTAAAGAAGGGGGTGACTTAGGGAAACTGGCTGTGGGGTAAGCAGGAAAGTGAGAGTGAGAAAGGGAGGAAAATGGGGTGTGATATTGTGACCATGTGAATCAATTATGTAGGGAGAGTGAAAGAGATACACTCCTCCATTTAAAATGCAGGAGGTAGGGAGAGAAAATCATCGAAATGGAAGAAGTAAGAGATTAGTTTAGCAAAATGTTATTTTTGATACTAACAGTTAAGTCCCAGATTTAGTTGCTTAAATTTAAACTGCTTCATGGACAACAAAGAATGAGTTGAAGAAAACAAAACTTGTACCTGGAATTTTAAATACCTGTCTCTGCTCCGCTAGTACAATTTCAGTGGAAGAGACTGTAATGGGAACTGCTGTGAGGGATCAGTCTTGGAGATTCATGCCACAGTCAGCCTTTGACCAAATTGTGTTGCTACGCTGGGATGTTTACACAGGAAAAACCCACAAGAGAGAAGAATTGGATCAGGCCCAAAACTGGCACGGGGATTGTGACAAGCAATTAAATCACTGCTGTTCCTGCCAATACAGGCAGCACTTCAACCTCATGCAGCCTGGTTCTGTTGATTTTGCAGGAGACCTCAGAAAGGGGCGAGTGCCCCCTAAAATTAGCTCACTGGCTGCAGTAGATATTGGAAGTGCATAGAAAAGACATTCAAAGCAGAAATAGATGTCAATATGTGCAACAGGACAAACAGCATACTCTGAGTTTGTCAGTCGCAGCATTGGAGGGCGTGGGGATGTAGGAGATGAAAACAGGAAAAAAATTCTCTATCTACAGAGAGTCAGGACACTCTTTGGAAAACCATTGTCTAGACAATGGGAGCAGATAGTCCTCACTATTGAAGCCAGCAGCGCTTTCCCAAGGAGCTGGGTGTAATACCAGAAGGAATGCACTGACTGCAAATGGTTGATCATGCCATGAGTGCACATACAAATGCCATAACCTTCCAACTGCAATACTAGCCTTAAAAGCTGCTGTGTTTCTCACACTTCCTGCACCTACTTACCAGTAACTTCAATCAGTTTTGACTCCTACTTCACATTCCAAGCCTCAGTTCATCCTCAGTGATGTCGCAAGCCAGACACGATTTGCGCACATTGCCAGTTAGACAATGGTAACAAGCAAATTGCCCAAACACATTGCAGCACATTAGCTGGCACATTTCCCTCTCTCTTCTAAGACAAGAAAGCACAAAGTAGCAGGCCACAGAGTAAAGCGGATAGAGGAGAGGCACAGATACAAGTCTTCACCCCCTTAAAGAAGACAGTGCTCACTTCATTGGATTGGCTGTGACTGAGGCTGGTACCAGAAGTGTGTGGCTGAAACCATTGAAGATGATGCTATGTTCCAAACTCATTCAGCTTCTCAGAGACTGCCTAGTCATCATGTAATAGGTGAATTAGCAAGGAGCTCATGCCTATAATGTCTTATCATGTCGTAAAGTGTTGATGCCATTGTGCAGTCAGTGGTCCCCTGCAGCAATGGAAAGCGCCACAGCCACATGCACACTGTTTCTTGAGTCTAACCAGAGAGAATCAGTGACTGTACTCCCCTCTCCTGGCCTAAAGACTGTCTGTCACTTTCCTTGTATCACATTGGATAGAAAACTGGGAGATGAGAGAAATGGGCTTCAGCTGGAAGGATGTGAATAATTCATGTCATGGTTACCCTCACAGCCACTGGTAATGTTGTTCTTCTCTGAGGCAGATCTAAGAGAAATCCTTTGTGAAGACTCTGAGTGGATGTGGTCTCTTGCTGACAGCCCTATTCCACCAGCACCCTGCTCCCACTCCCTGTATGAGCAGCTTGTCCTAACCTCTATGTTGCTGCTACTCAATCTCCCTTCCTTACTGCAGGTACGGGGGGTGGAGGGGGGGTGTGGTGGCTGTCGGTGGGAGTGGTCAGTACGGTCCTAATAACTGGGAGTAAAGGCTTTGATCAGAAACCTTGAAGAACCCAAGACTTCACTATTTGCCACCATTTGCTCTTCACTTTATAAATCTTAAAAAACAGTAGGAAATGCACAGCACTTCTACAAACCCTGACAGAATCAACAGAAATCAATTAGCAACTAAACTGAAAGTAGATGTGGTCCTTCCTGCTGCCTGAAGCATATTCCATTTAAAAGAATGCTTTGGCTGGAGTATCAAGGTTGAAAATGGCACTGCTATAATCAAATCAGTGTTCCACACTAACTGCAGCTGGCTGGATGGCTGATTTGTGATGCAAAGTGACACCAACAATGCGGGTTCAATTCCCACACCTGTTGAGGTCACCATGAAGGTCCTTCCTTCTCACCTTCTCCCCTTGCCTGTGGTGTAGTGACCCTCAGGTTAAACCACCACCAGTCATCTCTAATGAGAGGGCAACCCTTTGGTCATCTGGGATTGCAGTGACTTTAATTTACTTCCTCGCATGCTATCTGGCATTACAGTCTTCTTGCTCTGCATATCCCTGCTGCATCCTTCTGATGCTGTCAACAGAATGACATCTGGTGCCAGCTACACTTGACATTTGTATGCATTGTGAGAAAGTCATACAGCAATGAAAATACATGCCAAAAATGTAACTGTTATATTGCTGTGCTAGGTGGGAACAGGGATATATTTCTTACTGATAACTGAAAAAATCTTTTTATGCAGTTCTAGAATTGGACTAAAATATGTTGTGATATGCAATGTGCTGGATTTTTTTCTCAAGTAAGGTGCATGTTCCAAATAGCCCTAAATTTTACAGTTTCTGTGAACAGGCAACATGCCATCATTGAGCCAGGTCTTTCTGCTAAACTGTCTTATGCATCTCCATTCTTTGAAGTACCACACCCACAGTCTTCAAACTGAGCTCTCATTCATGTTCATTGGTATAATTGTAAAAGCAGTGTTGGCTGCTTTCAGTGCATTTTCTTAGTTCTCCTGTTTTGGAGAAAATGAATTGTTCTCTTATTAAAATCTAACATTTAGTGTGACATTCTTGGGTGTGAATCAATTTGGAAATTTTTTGATGTTCATAAGTTTCCTAATATAAACTTTGCAGCACTGGGGAAGTTTTGAAAATTTTGTTTTTTTTGTGTTTAGTCAAAACCCATCATTTTTATACTGCTGGTAAAATCTCACTACATTTGCAAAAGAGCATACAATATGTTACTTTATATTATTATTCATTCACGGGTTGTGAGTGTCATTAGCTAGACCAGTATTTACTGTCCATTCCTATTTGCCGTTGAGAAGGTGCTGCCTTCTTGAACCACTATAGTCCCTTAATTGCACCTACAGTATTGTTAGGGAGAGAATTCCAGGATTTTGACCAAGTGATAGTCCAAGAATAATGATATAGTTCCATGTTCGGATGATGTGTGGCTTAGAAGAGAACTTGCAAGTAACTGTATTCCAGTATATCTGCTGCCCTTCTTCTAGATGGCAGAGGTCAAGGGTTTGGAAGGTGCTATTAGGAGCCATGGTGAGTTTTTGCATCATGTAGATGGTACATACTGCTGCCATTGTGTATCAGTATTAGAGGGAGCAAATGTCAAAAATGTTCACTGGAATGCTGATCAAGCAGGCTGCTTTGTGCTGAATGGTGTTGAGCTTCATGAATGTTACCAGAAATGCACTGATCTAAGCAAGTTTTCCATTGAACTTGCAGATGGTAGACAGGTTTTGGGAGTCAGAAGATGAGTTTTTCACTGCAGGATTGTTAGCCTCAGACCCGCTTTTGTAGCCACTGTATTTATATCAGTGGACCATTTCAGTTTCTGATCTATGATAACCCTCAGGATGTTGATTGTTAGGTATTCAGCAATGGAAATGCGGTTGAGTTCAAGAGTGATGATTGGATTCTTTCCTGTAGGAGATTGCCATTGCTTTGCACTTGTATGATGCAAGATACTTTTCACTTATTAGCCCAAGTCTGAATGTTGCGCAGGTCTTGCTGCATTCAGACATGGACTGCTTCGATGTTTGAGGAGTTGTAACTGGTGCTGTGACTGAACTTTGGGCACAATCACCACAAAACATCCCCACTCTGACCTTATGATGGAGAGAATGTAAAGATAAAGCAGCTGAAGATTGTTAGACCAAGGACGCTACCTTGAGGAATTCCTGCAGAAATGTCCTGGAGCTGAGATGACAGACCTCCAACAACTGACCCGAAACTGTCACAGGACCCGAAACGTTAACCGTTTCTTCCTTCACAGATGCTGCCAGACCTGCTGAGCTTTTCCAGCAACTTTGTTTTTGTTCCTGATTTACAGCATTCGCAGTTCTTTCGGTTTTTATTGGAGAGCTTTCCCAGTTGCCTGTGAATACAGTTTTGTGGGGCTCCTTGATGCCACATTTGTCAAATGCTGCCTTGATATGAAGGTCATTTAGCCTCACTTTCTCTCTGAAGTTCTGCTCTTTTTTCCATATTTGAGGTCAGGAGCTGAGTAGTGCTGACAGAACCAAATCCGAGTGTCAGCGAGCAGGTTATTGTTGAGAAAGTGTCACTTGATATCAATGATACCTTCCATCAATTTACCAACGATTGAGAGTAGACTGATAGGGCATTAAATGGTTGAGTTGGTTTTGTCCTTTTTAGTGGACAGGACATAACTGAGCAATTTTCCATATTGCTGAGTAGAGGTAGGTGTTGTAATTGTACTGCAGTAGTTTGTCTACAGGCATGGCTAGTTCTGGAGTATATCTTCGGTACCATTGCTGGGATGTTGTCAAGACCATAGTCTTTGCCGTTCCTAGGGCCTTCACCCCTTTCTTGACATCATGTGGAGTGAATTGAATTGGCTAAAGGCTGGCATCTGTAATGCTGGGAACCTCAGGAGGAGAACATGATGGATTATCTGCTTGGCACTTTTGGATGAAGATTAATACAAGTGCTTTGTCTTTTGTGCTGCAGTTGCCAGTCCTCAACATGTTACAGTCAAAACTTCTGAAAAACTCAATTCCTGTCCCATGACTTGAGTATACTATCTGGCATTCATTCCTCAATTGTATTTTAATGTCTGTATTTTTTTTCATTTTGGATATCACAATGCCTGACATTGAGCCAGTGCTGGCAGTCTGCTCTGAGACAACTACTCATGCAAATCTTGAAATGGCTGCATGGAGATGTGTGATCATTGTCTGGGCACTAGTCAGACCCTGAATCCTTCTTTAAGCTCTGCAGGGGAATTGAGTGCTCAGTTTGCACATTTCACACTTTTTTTGGCTATATATATATATTATATATATATGTAAAGATTCCAAACACTTTGCTATCAATAATGTTAAGCTAACTGCCTCTTGTTTCGAATATTGAAATAATGTGAGCTGTTTCACCATTCCTCCAGCACTTTCCCTTTTCTAATGATGTCATTGCCTCCGCTATATTGCCCTTAGCTTCCATCAGCACACAGAAGTATGATCCATTAAGAATCAAGGATTTATTCCCCATGCAGATTGTCCAGTTTATCAATCATTTTGCCTCCTCCTATTTTAAATCCCTTGATATCCATTTGATCTTCAACATCATGCCTACCTTGTTAGGCTTCTTGTAAAAACTGAAGCAGTAACTATTCAATATTTCAGCCATTTCATTGTAATTATCTGGTGGTTTATCCTGTGTCTCCCTTACTGGATCATTTGTCTTCATTTCCCTTTTGTTATTTATGTGCCTGTGGAATGCTTTCCATCTATTTTCACCTTATTAATTATTTTTCAAATCTCATCTATGTTTTTTTCCAGAATGATTTATTTTCTTCACTAACGTGTGCTTTCAACAATGGATATGTCAGTATTACTGTAGCCGGCCCTTTACCAATGAATAACCTGACATAGTGATCACTTGGTCGTTTGATGTTTGATGTATTTTGATGATCTGGATATTGGTGTACTTTGCTTTTAGAATGCTGCTATGCTTTTAGAACATTGAGACAAATCAGCATTTTTAACAGTTGTCTGGAAATTAATTTCTTTTCACAAAATAGTTTGGTTTTGAAAGTGCACAAATGAGGCTGCTGTTGGAGTCAGTTGAGCGCCCAATAGGGTCTGAAGACAACATAAACCATTCAAGCTTCTCCCTTGTAGTTTTGATAGAATGTAAAAGCTTGTACTGCAACTCTTTCAGTCTTCAATACCTCTTTGCAATCAAAACTCATTGTAATCACTTCATTTTGTTTCCAGTTCTTCAGCTGATCTGAGATTCAGTATGGCGCTGTGCGATGAGGAGAAATCGTTCAGGCAGTCCAGAAGAGAAAAAGCCATGCAAGGAATTAAGAAGCTCTTAGGACCAACAAATTCTATGAATGCACCACAATCAGTACGGGAGGTAAAGTCTCAGGATGTGATGGAATCTGTTTATTTCCGGAGTATGTGCCTACATTGACGACAGCTAGGCTGGCAATTCGTATTCATTATTACAGAATCACAGGACTGTCAATGTGCAGAAGAAGGCCATTCAGCCCATCCTGTCTGCACCAGTTTTGTTTCTTAGTGCCAATGTATCCCAGCATACCATTTCTATCCAAATAACCATCCAATCTCCTCTTGAATGCCTTAACTGAGCCTGCCTCCATCACATATCCAAGCAATGCAGTCCATGCCTAACTACTCACTCTGTCAAACTGTGTTTTTTCTCACATCAACCCAACTTCATTTACAGATCACTTTAAATCTGTGCTCTTTTGTTCTTTTCTCTTTTAAAAGAGGGAACAGGTTCTTCCTGTCTACTCTGTCCAACCCACTCTTGGCTTTGAAAACTCTAACTAATCTGCTCTGAGGCTTCTCTCCAAGGAAAACATGTCCCAACTTCTTCAATCCATCCTCATTACTGAGGCTTTTCATTTCTGGACCCCGTTCCTGTAAATCGCTTCTGCACTCTCTCCAGTGCATTCACATCTTTCTCACAACTATACACAGTACTCCAGGTGAGGTCTAACAAGCATCTTGTAAATGTTTGACATCGCCTTCCTGCTGTTGTATTCCATACCCTTACTAATAAAGCTGAGAACACTATAACGGCACTCTCCACCAGTCCTGCCACCACCAATGATCTGTGCACATTTACACCCAAATTCCTCTGCTCCTGAGCCCTCTTTAAATTTGTACCCTGTATTCTGTATTGTCTTCTAATGATCCAATGTCCCAACACCAACCCCTGGCGAGCTCCACTACAAACCTTCCTGTAGCCCTAAAAATATCCAGTAACCATTACTGACTGTTTCCTGTCACTAAACCAAGTTTATATCCATGTTGCTATGCCTCTTTTATACCATGAGCTATAACTTTTCTCACAGGTCTATTGTGTGGAGAATACGGTTGGGTTAATAAACTGCTGATGGGAGGGTACATTTTGTTACCTTTGAGGGTACATTTTACAATTCTGTATTCCAGGGACCTTCACATTACCTGAAGCCTGTCATTAGCTTCCTATCCCAGGCTTCTAGTCAGTGAGATTTCCTAAAAGAAAGACTTTTTATAAAGGCTCCGAGCCTTTTCAAAGTGAAACACAGCCAATTAAACATTTTTAAAGCCTAGTCACTCTCGGACTGTAAGAAAAACACATTTGAGGTAGTTTTTTTTTAAACATTCCAGTTGAAACTGTTTGAAACTTCACAGTGGCCATTTTTCTCAAATACTTATGAATGAAGAAGTGTGGACAACAATCTCACACGAACAGCAACAAAATAAAGGACCAAGTAATGTTTCTTAGTTACCTTTGTTGAGGGATAAATATTGGTTGAAATGCTGGGAAAGTTCACTTGCCCTTCTTTGAACAGCGCTATTGGATCGTATGGATCCATCTGAATTGGCAGAAGGGGCCTCTCTTTAGTGTCTCATCCAAAGAACAACAGCTTGAACAGTGCAGTCTTCTTTCAAAACTGCACTGAACTATCAAACAGAGTGGTATGTTCTACTCTGGGGAGTAAGATTTGAACTTCTGAGCGCTGATGCCATTGTCCAATCTGTAATACATGGCAGACACTAAATGCAATGCTTTAACTCCCACAGACCTAAGTTGTATCTTCTCCCCTAGTAGCTCCTTACTTAAATCAGCTATATACAAATATCACAAAAACGAACGTTAAATCACAAGTAAAATGAGCAGTATTTAAATGCAGACTAAAACCCTGCTAGTCATTGATGGACAGTTGTTTCATCACGCAGTTAGGCTATGCTTAGTTTTGTAAGATAACAGCCTAGAATTTTACTTCATGTGGCCTCTGGAGTGTAAAGTTTTTCTGTTGTATTTCAGGTGCCAACAATAGCTATTCTGGGTTCTGGAGGAGGCTTTAGAGCGATGGTTGGGTTTGCTGGTGTTATTAAAGCTTTGATGGAATCTGGAGTTTTTGATTGTGCAACCTATATTGCAGGACTCTCTGGTTCCACTTGGTAAGTTCCATCGACAAGGCTTCTTTCTCAGATATTGTCAAATGGATAAAGTTTTGTTGTGTAAGCTGTTAGAAACTTCAAGTCCATCCCTGTCACTAGGGCACAAAATCAGCATTCAGAGTGATTTTAAGATGTATAGGTGGGAGATTATGAGCTGGAGTTTAATACTAGGGGTGGGAGATTTCCCAGCTCAACATGCCTATCTCAGGAAAAGTTGCCCGGCAAGATGTGATTTACGTTGTTAGGGATAGTTGCATGCTGAGACTGAGCCAGCTGTCACAGGCGAACTGAGTGAGACTTTACTGAGAGTCCAGATATCCATTAGTCTATTGAACAAGTGCACATAAGGGAAAGCAAATCTTGATTGAGAACCTTTTCCTTTGGATCTGTTTGTTGTTGGCTCAATATTTAGTTACACAAGATGAAGAAATGTATAGTGTTATAGTTTTTGCTATTGATACTTCAAAGGTCTGGTTGATTGACACCTTTATAGGAGTGTAGGAACAGCAGGCTTTCAGAGAGTTTGAATTTTTTCCAGCTTTTCCACACATGCCTTTGTTACTATAGCATTCATTCAGTCTGTCAGTGGGTATGATGGATGAATGCCCTATGGAGGTAGTATGCTATGGGTTGTCAATGAGGGTATGAAGGGTCATTAAATTATAATGGGGAGGGGCAAGATAAGTGATTTAACATGTTATCTTTGAAAAGATTCCCACATCCTGACTATGCGTCATGACACCTCTGAGGAACTGTGAACCATGAGTCCATGAAAAGTTTGCCCATCTCCAGGAGAAATGCACAGCTTAGGGAATGCTTATTCCTGTAATGGACCTGGCACTGGGAATGGGCTGGAGTTCCCAAATTTGGGTCCTATCCATCATTTTTAAAAGTCTGCGTAATCTCCCTGACTTCATGAAGATCCAACTCTACAGATTTGATTCCTTCTCAATACTGCTGAAGCTGATCTTAACAGGGCCATTGATAGAAGGCAGTATTGTTAGCTTTATAGTAGTTCCTGTAAATCAGGAGGTTGAAGGAAGAGAGGAACATGAAGAAATCAAAATCAGTAGGGAAACATTACTGAACACACTGATGGAGTTGTGAGCTGATAAGTCTATGGGTCCTAATGAGCTTCACCCTAGGGGCCTCAAGGGGAGGAGGCAATGGCCTAGTGGTATTATCGCTGGACTGTTAATCCAGAGAACCAGATAATGTTCTGGGAACCCAGGTTCAAATCCCTTGACAGCAGATGGTGGAATTTGAATTCAATAAAAAATATCCAGAATTAAGAATCTAATGATGACCATGAATCCATTGTCGATTGTCAGAAAAACCCATCTGGTTCATTAATGTCCTTTAGGGAAGGAAACTGCCATCCTTACCTACATGTGATTCTAGACCCACAGCAACGTGGTTGACTCTGAACTGCCCTCTGGGCAATTAGGGATGGGTAATGAATGCTGCCTAGCCAGTGACACCCTCATCCCATGAATGAATAAAGGAAGAGGTGGATAATGAGGTAAAAAATGTGTTGGTGTCAATTTTACAAACGTTTTTCAATTCTGGAAACATTCCGACAAATTGTAAAGCAGCAGATACAACCTCTGTATTCAAGAAGGGACGGAGACATAAGGAACCATCACCCAATTAGCTTAATGTCTATCAATGTGGGAAATGTATTAGAATCGATCATTGAGGAGGTGATTACTAGGCACTTGGAAAAATATCAATGTAATTGGGAAAGTTAGCACAGTTTTGTGAAAGGAAAATTGTGTTTAACCATTTTATTGGAATTATTTAAAGGAGTAGCATGTGCTACAGATAAAGAGAAGTCCATTGATTTAGATTTCCAAAAAGCATTTGATAAGGTATCACGTCAAAGGTTACTGGCCAAAGTCTAAGTTCAAGTGTAGGGAGTGACATAGTAGCAGAGGTAGAATAGCAAATGCAAAAGCACAAGCAAAGCATTGTGGATGCTGGAAATCTGAAATAAAAACAGAAAATTCTGGAGAAACTCAGCAGATCTGGCAGCAGCTGTGGAGAGAGAAACTGAGTTAACGTTTCAAGTCCAGTTTCTAGTTTTTTCAGAAAAGAGTCATTTTAGACTAAAAACAACTCTCTGTCTCCACAGATGTCAGCAGACCTGTTAAGTTTCTTCAGCACTTTCTGTTTTCATACAATGGATAGGAGATTACTGGCAGAAAACTAACTATGTATAAATAGTCATTTTCAGATTAACAGGATGTGATGAGTGGGGTCCTACAGGGGTCTGTGCTGGGCCTACAACTTTTCGCAATTTACATCAATCACTTGGTTGAGTAGATCAAAGTCATGGTGGCTAAATTTGCAGATGAGACAAAGATAGATAGGAAGTATGTTGATGAGTGTCACAAGCCGAAAAGCCTTTTAACGCTCAGCATTTAAAATCATGCGTGAAGATTGGCCACTGGGCAAAATATTAAAGAGATGCTGGGTCCAATGAATTATTTTGAGCGATACAGGCCAAGTATTCTGGTGTCCAGAGTACTTCTTAAAATTTTGCTATGGCTACAAGTACTTCTAGAGTTCTTAAAGTGCAAGTTTTCAGCCTGGGTAAGTAGCATCTGAGAGGTGATTTTAAAGATCTTTATAAAATATTAAGGCAAAGGTTCCCAAACTGTTGTTGAAGTACCTGCCTTTGAGGAATCACATCCGACGCACAACAAAGTTGGATATTTCATGTTAGAGCCAGTATAGCTGGAAGCTAAGAACATTGATTTTGAAGCTTCAGCTGTTCCAATCTTTTAATGTTCCTACCACATTATTAGAACTGACTGACAAGCAAATGAGTTGGCTTCACTCCATGATCCTCAAGTCCAGTGACCCAGGAATACACCAAGGCACGCTGTCATATCATGTCAGATATTTATGAAAGAAGGGTTGGAGATCTCTTTCGATTTGCTTTATTTGGGATAGATGGGGACAGAGAAGTTGTTACCTCGGGTGCCAGTAGTGAATGGATGAGAACTTGGTAACATTGACAGGCCTTTGTGTTATCGTTGTGTTTACATATCCTTCTCATCCATCCTTCTCAATCAGGTACATGTCAACATTGTATTCTCACCCTGACTTCCCAAAAAAAGGACCTGGTGAAATCAACAAAGAGCTGATGGAAAGTGTCAGTTATAGTCCAATGTATCTGCTGACCCCTTTGAGGATCAGACGTTACATTGAGGCACTGTGGAAGAAGAAGAGGTCAGGGCAACCTGTCACCTTTACTGACGTGTTTGGGATGCTCATTGGCGAAACGCTGATTCAAAATGTAAGTTGAGAATATTTCCTATTCCACAATATCAAACCACGCAGCCGGAATGCATGTTGATGATTGCAGCATATTACTCGAAGGAGACAGAAGATTTAATAGGATCAAATTTTTTTTTTAGTTTAGTCAGCACACTGGTGTTTTGAGAGACCTGAATGGAAGATCGAACACTACAGAAAACATAAGGTTGTTCTGCTAATGAGGATGCCAATTCTAAGGTCTTTCCCAAAACCTAATAAAAATCATGTTCAGAGTTACTGATTAGATTCCTCATCTATTAAATCTACACTTTATGTACTGAAACAGTAAGAATTAAGTTTTAAATCTTTGTGTATTGCATCTGTGAATCATAGTAAAACAAATATACACACTCATATGTGCTGAATGAGAAGTCTCATGCATTTCTGTAAATTATAAAATTATTCAAAAGGGCTTTTGGGTGATAATGGTGTGCAGGGATATGAGAAAAAGACAGGAGTTTGGCACCAGATAAAAGAGCCAGTATATGCATAATGGGCCGAATGACCTCATTCTGCACCATAATTATTCTGTGATTCTGTGGTGCTCGAGAGCTAGCCCTACCTCCCACAAGCTGTTCCAGTAAGTCACTGGCGTTTACCCCACAATTTAGAGAACTGTCCAAGGAATCCAGCTTGGCCAGTTACAACTTGATTAGTCTGCTCTTAATCACCAGCAATATAATGTAAACTCTTGTCAAGCAACAATCTGCTCATCAGCATTCAGCTTGGGTTCTGCTAGAGCTACTAAACTGCAGAGCTCTGCAGCATTGATTCAAACATGGACAAACAAGCTCAATTCCAGAGGTGAAGGGAGAGTGACTGCCCCTGATATCAAGGCAATGTTTGCCCAAGTGTAGCATCAAACGGGCTTGGCAAAATTGGAGTCAGTGAGAATCATGGGAGGATTTTCCACAGGTTGCATTTCATACCAAGCATAAAGGAAGATGGTTATGGTTATGGAAGGCCAATCATCTTAGCCCCAGAACATCACTGCAGGGGGTCCTCAGGATAACGTCTCAGTCGCCATCCATTTTCGGTTGCTTCATGATCGGCATAGGCTTTGGCAGCCTAACTTCTAGTGTGCAGTCCTGTTATCTTTTGCATTTAACTCTCTTAGGCTGACCAAGTGAAGAAAGAAGCAGCTAGGTAAACACTTGCTACTCTCTCCTTCACCTCTCACAGCTTTTCTGTGACATACTTTGCTGCAGTTTGCACTCCAGCCTCCGAGTCCATAAGCATCAGGGATCTGACCTGTACTTATCATGTCTGTGGGCACACATCAGGATGCTTGTCTTTCTGAAACGCTGCTGACTGCTGACTAGGAGCAGTACATCTGGGGTCTGTCTTTAGACTAACCTTTCTAAAGCTGAGAAAGATTGCTCCTGGCACTACAGCCAGTCCTTCCTCATCACCCCTTTTCTGCTGATATTTAATGCTACCTCCAGCCATGACTCAGTGAGTTTTAAGGGCTTTCTGATGCAATGACAACAAATAGGATATTTCTTTCTTCACTAAACAAGGGCAGCACGTGGGCACAGTGGGCAGCACTGCTGCCTCACAGTGCCAGAGACCCAGGTTCGATTCCAGCCTCGGGTGACTGTCTGTGTGGAGTTTGCACATTCTCCCCGTGTCTGCGTGCATTTCCGCTGGGAGCTCTGGTTTTCTCCCACAGTCCAGAGATGTGCAGGCTGGGTGGATTGTCCATGCTAAATTACCCCTAGTGTTCAGGAGTGTGTAGATAAGGCGGGTTATAAGGGGGATGGGTCTGGGTGGGATGCCCTGAGGGTCGGTGTGGACTTGTTAGGCCAAAGCGCCTGTTTCCACACTGTAGGCATTCTATGATAACTTCAGTAGTGCCTCCAGTAATGTACCTGCAAAACGGCCACAGGGGTCTCCTTTCTCTCTACACTTTTCTCTACGCCTTCTTCCATCCCTTGGATGGATAACAACCTTAGCAATGGTTCCTGCTCACACTTTTAGATTAGACCCAATGCTGCCTAAATCCAGCCTCCTTCCTGCATCTGCCCCAACAGTTGAGCAGCAAACATAACTCCAAGCCAATTTAATACTTAACTCAAACTCACGACACATGCCCACTGCTGACCCAGAATAGTAGTCCCACGTAGCAGGATCTTTACCATGAACGAAGCTCAATTTAACAGCAGCATATTGTCCTTCATGGGGAAGAATCACTTAAGTAATCAAACAAGGGCAAAGAAGCCCAGGACAATAAATTGAGCTGAATTTATATAGTGAAATATCATTATTACATGATATTAGACCCACGCCCTTTCATCAGTAAATCTGTGGTAATGGAATTTAGTGAGGAATCTGAGTTTACTAAAGCTAATCAAAATATTTTATGCAGTCAGATTTACACAATTACTAAAAACCATTTGTCAAATCTGTGTAATTTTGAAATATGCACATAAGATCTGAGCAATCCAAGAGACCAAAGATAAATGGAGATTGGTCATTTTTAATGTTGCGTGCAGTTTGTATCTTATCATCACGAGAAGTTTAATACGTGATGTATTATATTACGAATGCATTCCTGAGAGATAACCTCAATTGTAATAGGAAGAATGGTCTGCTTCACCAACATTCCTCCTATCAATCCATTGAGCCAGAGCCAGGCCACATCCATTCACAGTGTATCCTCCTCTTCAGCTCATGTCAACCTGTAAAAACTGGGCACTGACAGTTGGAACTTCTCTCCCTACCAGAAACAAACACTTTGTATTCCTTTAGCAGGAATCCTGTATCCTTGTTCACAAACTGGCTTTGTTGCAGTGACTGATATTCGTTTCCACTGCTTGTAATAGCATTTATGATGAAAGTTGATCAGCTATGTTATTTGCACCATGGAACACAACAAGAACTCCTGTTACTGGAACGGTGCTGCCATCCCATGTTGGACTAAGATGCAGGTTTACTTCAGTTCTTCGCTGTGCTGAGCTCATCATCTCAGCCTTTGTGTAAAAGTGAGACAATAGCCAAACAGAGACAGAAGTGACGTGGGAACCAGTCAATGATTGGTGCAGTCTGATCGCAGTGGTTTGTAGGAGGAAAAACACCAAGCCAGGATAGAACCCAATGCAGTCAGGAGAAGAACTTCCTAATAACACTGGCTGCAAGAGAATGCAACTTGGTCAAAATATTAGCATCAGCCAGCTAGGTGGTGGATTGCACTATGCTGGGGGCAGCATCTGTTCACAAATTAGCTCAAGAGCCATGTTGCAACTCCTAATCTGGCCTGAATTTTCATCTTATCAGTCTCATCATGTAGGACCAGAGCCTCAGACTGCTCCAAACAAGGCCATTGATGCTGGAAGTTAGTAATCCTGTATCACCTAGTCCTGGAGGGCTGGCAAAGTGGTAGCAGCCAGAGGTCCCACTAACAGCAAATGAGTTGGCTAAACAGTTGATCTGTCTTGATGGTTTCGGTTAAGGGAAAGAAGGAAACATATGTTTATACAGTGCTTGTCATGGCCTCAGCATGGCCTCAAGTGCCTTACAGCCAATGCAATTCTTCTGAAATGTATTAATTGTTTTAATGGATAAAGGTTGACCATCAGATTTGGAGAACTCTCAGCTCTTCTTTAAATTGTACCATGGAACATCTGTCTTTTAGTTACCTATTCATCTTTCCGAGTTTAAATCTTTAGTTCCCTTGTTCAGTTGTTAGTGCTTTAATTTGTGGTGATATACCTTTTCTGAAGTGCTTTCCATACATCTAAAAGAGGTCCTCCAGCGACCGTTTACTTGATTAGTTAGTTTACAAGAACATTATTGTTTGTGGTTTAGTGTTTCCAGGAGGGGATTAAGTTAATCTGGCCTCTGCATTTAGTGTTCTTTGTGTACTGTTTCATAGTCTAATTCAAGCTAAGGTTTATTGGCGATTTGTGGCTCCTGGGCCTGAATAACGCTGCTCTGTATGCACAAATTCCAGTACACTCAAATTCTATTTGTGGTTATATTTCTTTTTCAATCGTTTGCCCTTTTAAAATGTGTAGAGCTTGAATAGTCACAATGCTAGATTAATCCCTAAAAGTTTAGAAAGATTTAGTTGACATCAGTAAACGGAGACATGTACCAATTAATAGGAACACGTTGCACAGTTAATCAGATTGTACTTTTTACTTAGCTATGTGTGGTTTCCTGCACCTCTGTCCCTCTCCCCCACCAACCAAACAGAATGCAAAGATACCTCGAAATTTTCAACCATACTTCTCAGTGTATGATTTTACTTAAAAATTAAAATATTTATCCAGGAAGTACACAGTTGAAGCACAACATCCTGTTTCAGAGCAGGTGCAATGTCAAGTCCAGTCCATGCAGTTAAGTACTTTAGTCTGCTCTTCGGCAGCACACAGAAACAGGCAGAAACAGATTAATTTTATTTTCTTAATTTCTCCCTTTCTTTGTTTCTGTCTTCTTTCCTGAAGACTCTCACTCATTAGCTGTTGCATGTGTACCATCCTGCACTTCTCTCAGTAATCAATCATCATAATCAAGTCAAAAAACAGTAACAATTGGGACTCAACTCTAGGGAAAAGAAACTGTGTCTTAGCATTTGGCATCAAGCACATCTGCATTCCCTGCGAGACTGAAATAGCTATGGTTTCTTCATATATGTCACTCAGGGTAAGCAGTAGCACGATGGTAATAACACAAATCAAAGCCTAGGCTAATTCTCTGGGACATTGATACAAATTCTTTCCTGATGGAATTTTAATCAATTAATAAGTATGGAATTAAAAACCTAATCTTGGTAATGGTGATCCTAAAACCACTGGTAACTATCATTAAAAAGAATCTGGTGCCTGAGGGAAAGAAATCTGCCATCCTACATGTGACTACAGACACACAGCAATATTGTTAACTCCTAACTGTCCCCTGAATTAGCTAAATAAGCCATTTAGTTGTATTGGGCTGCTAAAAATTCAAAAAGAAATTCAAATGGACAAACTCTGTAACATTGACCTAGATACTAGAAACAATAATGGCAAACCTAGTTCCAATGACCCTGCAGAGTTTTCCTTATTACTGTATGGGGGCTAGTGACAACACTGAGAGAGCTGTCTCACAGACTAGTCAAGCAACAGCCTGACTTTGTGCATAAGCTATGATTTTGTGATTATGACAGTGTTCCAAACAGCACCATCACCATCACTGGGAATAACCTGTCCCACTGACAGTAAAGACCCAGCAGAGGTAGCAGCACAATGCAAATAGTCAGGAGGCTAGGAGCAGCAAGGCACATCCAAAAATGAGGTGTCAACCCGATGAAGTTACAATACAGAACTGTTTTCATGCCAAATAGTTGAAGCAGCATGCAAAAGACAGAGCTAAGCAATCCTATAATCAACTTGTACAAGAAAGTGAAATTCCAGTGGAGCGGTGAGAGTGACTACCCTTGACATCAAGATTGCATTTGACTGATTGTAACATCAAGCAGCCAAGCAAAACTGGGTATTGGGAGCAAACTCTCTGCTGGTTGGAGTCATTCCTGGCACATAGGAAGATGGTCATGGTTGTTTGAGGTCAGTCATCTCAGTCCAGGACATCTCTGCAGGAGTTCATAACCATCTGCAGCTGCTTCAGTAGTGACCTTCCCTCCATCATAAGGTCAGAGGGGGGATGTTTGCCGATGATTGTACAGTGTTCAGCACCGTTCATGACTCCTCATATACTGAAGCAGTCCATATTCAAATGCAGCAAGATCTGGACAATATCCAGGCTTGGGCTGACAAGTGGCAAGTATCATTTGTGCCACACAAATGCCAGGCAATGACCATCACCAATAAGAGGCAATTAAACCACAGATTATCAACATTCTAGGGGGGGGGGGGTTATCATTGACCAGAAACTGAAGCTGGACTAGCCATATAAATACTGTGGCTATAACAGCAGGTCAGGGCTTCAGAATTCAGCATTGAGTAACTTATCTCCTGACTCTGCAAAGCCCGTCTACCAATATAAAGCCCAAGTTAGGAGTGTGAGGGAATACCCCCCACTTGTCTAGATGGGTGCAGTTCTAAAATCTCTTGAGAAGCTCAGCACCATTCAGAACAAATCAGCTGGCTTGATCAGTATGCAGTCCACCACCTTAAACATTCATCCCCTCCATCACTAACATTACCATCTAGAAGATGCACTGCAGAAACTTATCAAGACACCTTTAACAGCACCTTCCAAATTTGAGCTCTACCACCTAAGTCAGGGGCAGCAGATGCATGGGAACACCACCAGCTGCAAGTTCCTCTCAAAGTCACATATTATCATGATGGAACTATATCTGCCATTCCTTTATTGTCACTGTGTCAAAATCCTGGAACTCCCTTCCTAACAGCACTGTAACTACACCACATGGAGTGCAGCAGCTGAAGAAGGCAGCACACCAACAGCAAATAGGGTAGATCAATAAATACTGGCCTAGTCAGCAGTGCCCACATCTTATGAATGAATAAATTTTTAAAAATCTATACCGATAAGATGGAAGATGCAGGAACTGAGACATATTGTTTGTTTTGACTGAGACTAGAAGTTACAGAAACTGAGAGAAGGACAGAAAGATAGATTCACAAGAGAAGAAACCTAAATGGATGAACCCAGGTTACTGCTCAGTTTATTGAACTGAAGAGCTGAATGTAACAGTCAAAGCATTGGGGAAGAGGGAATTCATTTTTAACCATGAAATCTCTTGATTGCAATAAATGCTTATAAAATGTGTTCTTTGGGTTGTTCCATTGCAGAGAATGAACTCTAAAATGAGTGAGATGAAGGATAAAATAAATGATGGTTTTTGTCCCATGCCCTTGTTCACCTGTCTTCATGTAAAACCAGACGTGTCTGAACTCATGTTTGCAGGTAAGCTGTTCTTTCCTTTTACAGATAAATGTAATGGAGATAATCCAACAATTAGAGTTAGGAGGTCAAAAAAGAGATACATTCTAGAATTAAACAGCAATCCACCCCAAAATGTGATTTTCAAGCGTGTATTCCAGTCTGTACTTGTCATTGGAGAGAGACAGTGCCCCTGCTCGTCCACTATAGTCAGCTTTTCTGTTTATTTGCATTTTCTGGCCACTGAAAAGAAAATTGAGGTGGGAACACAGGAACAGGAGTAGGCCATTCAGTCTGTCAAGCATGGTCTGCTATTCAATGAGATCAGTGTCACCTTTGTTTTAATTTGCTTCATCATTAATCATGCATCACATCAGCATGATTAGGAAGTTTATCAATTTTAATGTGACACATAAACATCTGCTCGAAGGATTGAAAGGTACAGAGCAAGTTTCAATTTGGGTAAATATTTAGTAAAAAGGGTTCAAACAGTCTCATTTGAAAGACCAGACAAATGATTCTATTTTCTACCAGGATCAAAGGTCCAGCCACATTGTTGAGACATCTCCACCACACTCCACCCTCAATGCACACCCCTCCCCCAACACACACCCCTCTCCCAACAAAAACCCACTGCCAACATGCAGCCCTCCCCCAACACAACCCTTCCCCAACACACAACCCTCCCCCAACACACACCTCTCACCCAAAACACATCCCTCCCCACACACACCTCTCCTCCAAAGCAGACCCCACCCCCAACACACACCCTTCCCTGACACACACGTCCCCCTCCCCGACACCTTCCCCCTCCTCTTCGCTAACACACGTCCCTCTGTTCGATGTATGAGTTCACCGTCAGCACACACACCACTCAGTTTCCCCAAACGGTTTGCTGAACCCCCTGCCTGCCTCACCTCCGACTGAAGAAGTTCAGTTGGAGAACACTTAGGTTTGAACTTGTGGTTTTATGACACGAATTCCCACCACTTCCTGATCTAATGGCTGTAAGTGATCAACGTGGCTCAGTCCTATTATGATTAAATCAGAAACTTTCAAATTTTTAAACCGCGTTATTGGTTTGCACCTGAATGATGGGATGGTTTGGGAACAATTGCTGTAATTTGATGTGTTTCATCATTGTAAGCCAAGCCCTGACTTTATTGAGTGAATGTGATGTTGTATTTTTAGGTATGTAAATAGATCTTGGTTCTCTGCCTAAGTGAAACATGGGGCAGAATTTTACTGGGTGCCCCACCAGCAGCGGTAACATCAACCTGTCCTCCATTTTGCAAGGGGCAGGTGAGTCTGCAGTAGCCCTCCTCGCAGTCATTCCAGTACAGGCTCCTCAGGCCATCTCATACCTGGACCTTTGGGGAGAGCTGTGGGTAATATCCTGACTGGAATTGTCCCCACCTAGGATTCTCCGTAAAAACTCCCAAACAAACGCACCCCCACCCATTTCCACCTCCCACACAGAGGCTTCCTGTCTCATCCTTGATGCAATACCCCTGGCACTTCCCTACAGCCTGGCTCTGGGCCTTCAACTTATGGAGATTGCTTGTAGTACCAGCAGTGGCCACCACAGCCAGCCAATCGGTGGAGTTGGTTGCCCTCTGAGAGAGGACGTCTTCCTTAGTTAGGAGGGCAGGTCCCAGGCCTTTAGATAATGAATGCTCCTCGGAGTGTTAACTACCAGAGAGACAGATAGGATTAGTGAAGATGTGTCATGCCAAGTAGTTTGAAAGTAGTCTGGGTGCTAACCAATTATATAGTTTAACAGATGGAGGAACTTTGTGCAGCCCAGTATAAATGCAACATTAGACGTTCAAGTGACTTTAAATCCAGCAGACCAAGATTACCCAAACTGGTTTGTGAGTCATAGGTAACCCTCAATACCTGGGAAGCCAGTTGCTGAAGCTGTAGCGATTTCTAGGTTTGAGTTTCAATTTTTAATTTGTTCATTTTGATGTATTCAGGCTGCAGGTTTTGCAAAGAGCTCCTTTGAAAATTAAATCCGCACTCAGAACATGAGCTTGGTTAGTGTCAAAGTCTAGAGACACATGTAAACTCATGGGAACCCTGACTGTTAATTTGATCTGTGACCCTGAGTCTCCGTGTAACATACCAGTGTGCTCACAAAGATAGTACGCCCTGACATCAAACGTATTCTCCCATGTGTCGGTGAAAGATTTGTAGTTGCCTTGGAGTATAGTGTTGACTCTAAATAGAGTGTTTGGAATTTATGAATTGGTGATATTCTCTTGTGCAAACAGACAATCATTCACACCGACTCTGCTTTCATTCCTTGCTTCATCTTTATCGTTCATAGATTGGGTGGAGTTCAGTCCATACGAGATTGGAATGGCAAAGTATGGGACGTTCATGCACCCTGCCATCTTTGGCAGCAAATTCTTCATGGGAACAGTGGTGAAGAAATATGAAGAGAATCCACTTCATTTCTTAATGGGTATGTTTGATTATGAAACTCAGAGTTAAGCTGGCCTTTCTGTGTCACTTTCTGTTCAGATTAAAAAGGGTGGGATTTTAAGGCCTCTCTGGTGGCAAATTTGGGGCTGAGACGGCAAGATGATGGTGTCCCTGAATGCCATTGCCTTTGTGCCTCTGCCAGAACTGAGTCAGAGAAGGAAGGACAGTGGTCAGACCTACCAGCCCATTCCAGTGAAGACCTTTAATTGGTCAGTTAGTTGCTACTCAAGGACCTCATCTTGCTACTGCTGCTAAACTGGAGGCAGCTGGGCCTGCCAACATGCAGGATACACGACAGGTAAAATTATATGGCCTGCTGTGACTGTCCAGGGCAGGGACCTTAACTGGGCCTGACTGAGGGACATAACATTGGGAAGTGGTAGCCTGCTGAAAGCCAGCCACATGCACCCCCATACTTACATACACACACCACAGCGCACACCCCCATACACAAACACAGACACTCAACCCTCACACCACACACACACACACTCGCACCTCATACACATTCACACACCACACAGGCTGAGGACACTTATGACTGACTTATCTGAGTAATTACTCAGGAAACTTTGGACAAAAAAATCCATGTGTATCTCCTGGGTAACGAGAGGGCTAGTCAAATTGACTCTCCCCTCAAACCTCGATACTGTCCCTAAACCCTCAAGTTTCCACCTCACCACCCTGATCTGGCCTCATGACATACCCAGCTGCCAACCTCACCTCTTTCCCCACCCCACACTACCTCCTCAACCAATTACCTCACTCCCTCACTCAACTATACATTCAGCTATTTCACTCATATATGCTCACTAACGCATGGAGAAACTTTGGGAAGTTTAAACTCTTATGTACTAAAACATACATTCACTTTCATCTTTTCTCTCTCTTGCATTGCTAGGTGTTTGGGGTAGTGCTTTTTCGATATTATTCAACCGAGTACTTGGAGTTACCAGTTCCAACAATCAAAGCTCCACCACAATGGAAGAAGAGCTTGGTATTGTACCTTTCTATCTTGTTCAATCATTAATATCAGGCTTTCAAGTTATGCGATTGTATGGCTTTGAGAGTATGTCTCTGTGGAAGCCCCCTCCAAATATTGATACACATCTAGGCTTTCAATTTAATTGCCTTCGACATTTCAAAATTACCTGTCCTTATTTTAACTAAAATTGAATGTGTTAGTAGATGCATGATGCTATTTTATGTTAATTATATTAGTATTTAATATTGTTCATAAGGAATTAATTGGCAGTTCTCATTTCATATGATAAAATTGTGCCAGTTAATTTAGGGAAATAAGCAATTAAATCTCAGCTGTTCTACTGGATATTGTGATATTTAATCAAATTCTTAGGTTTTATGGACATTTCCATTGGGATAATTTTATGATAATGGTTGAATTTATTGTAAACTTTATCCCTACTTCAGCCATTACAGCCATGCTTTCTCTGTCTGAAGGTAGGTCTTTGTTCATTGTCTGTTGATGTTTCACCCTGCACCATTCTCTTGACAGTTTCTATCTGTAGTGGTTTGCCAGTGACTTACACTTTCAGGATCAGAGCTCAGTGGCAGCTCTTGAGTCTACCCCAAACAGAGTGTGAATTGAACTCAGGTGATTGGTGTTATTCTGAACCACGCACTCTCCCCCTGAGCAAGTCACATCCACCTCATATTGTATTAGTGCAATGAAATGTCATCAATGATTTTTGTTATACTAGAAGAAGGGCAATGTTGTTCTAGCTCATCATGAGTGGGGTTGGGATTTGGGGTTAGTGGGGGCTAGGGAAAGAGGGCAATGGTTGGCTTTGCTCCAGCCACATGCTGTTAAATTGTGGCCATTTACTGATAAATAAGGAAAAAGACAAGTGCAAGAAGGGGAAAGAGAAAAGAATCAACTAAATTCAGCAGCTGAAGATTTGAAACAGGAACCCTCCCTGATTTGTCGAACTCAGCTATTCAATGAAATGTTTCACTGGGGACTGGACAGGGTAGATGCCTGGAGGATGTTCCCGATAGTGGGTGTGTCCAGAACCAGGGGTCACTGAATGAGGATTCGGGGTAGATGATTTAGGACGGAGATGAGGAGACATTTCTTCACCCAAAGAGTGTTGAGCCTGTGAAATTCATTACCACAGGAAGTAGTTGATGCCAAAACATTGAATATATTCAAAGGGCGACTAGATATAGCACTTAGGGTGAATGGGATCAAAGGTTATGGGGAGAAAGCCGCATTAGGCTATTGAGTTGGACAGTCAGCCATGATCATGACAAAGGGCAGAGCGGGCTCAAAGGGCCAAATAACCTTCTCCTGCTCCCATCTTCTATGCTTCTATGTTTCAATATTATTCTGAAATGCAAATTCAAGGCCTTAGTTTAAAGCAACTGATAGACATTTGCCAGTAACGAACAAAATACTGAGACCTAATGACAGGAAGCAATCACCTCCTGGACTTCTTGAAATTGCTTTGTAGACCCATTGGGGTCAGGTCTGGAAACCTTTCTATAAAGCAAGGAACTGTAGATGGTGAAGTTCTGAAACAAAGAAAAACAGAAAGCGCTGAAGAAACTCAGCATCTAAGGAGAGAAAAACAGAGTTAACATTTCAAGTCCAGTGACCCGTTCAACGGAACAGAACACAGTTAGGAAACGGTGGTATTTATGCAGAGGACGGTGGTGTGGGGCTGTGGGAGGAGTGAGACAGCTAGATAGAGAGAGGGGGAAGGAAGAAAGAAAGCAGACAAAGGGATTGTTGCTAGGAAGCCAGGAAAGAAGAGAAGCTGAAGAGGTGATACTGGAGACTGTGGTTGTTGAAAATGGATTGACTGCGCTGAGAGCACCCAATACAGGACAGGACCTGGGGGTGTGGGGGTGGGGAATGAACATGGAGGGAGTTGTTCACCTTCTGAAATGGTTCCACTCAATGTTGAGTTCTGAAGGCTGTAGCTACCCAGGTTGAAGACAAGGTTTCATTTCTTTCATTTTACAATGAGCCTCACTGGAACATTGCAGCAAGCCTGAGACCAGATTGTTGGCATGGGGACGAGGTTGTGCGTTAAAGTTGCAGGCACTAGAACCTTGGATAGAGCGGAGATATTCAACAGAGCAGTTGCCCAGTCTGTGGTTCAGCTCCCTACTATAGAAAAGAATACATTGTGAGTACAGGAGACTAGATTGAATAAATTGCGATTTCGTCTGTAAGGTGTGTCTGGGGCTTTTGCTAGTGAGGAGGGAGGAGGGAAATGGGCAAGTGTTACACCTTCTGCAATTGCAGGGAAGGTACTATGGAGTATGAAGAGGCGTTGGGAATGGAGGAGGAGAGTGTGAGAATGTCCTGGAGAGAATGGCCTCTCGAATACTGATGAAGGAAGGAAGGGAGAGGGATATATGCCTCGTGATGGCATCCAGCTGGAGGTGGTGGCAGCTTATGATCCTTTTGATGCAGAGGGTGGAAGGTGAGAACTAGGGGCACGCTATCGTACCTGTGGGAGGGAATGGAAAGAGTGAGGGCAGACGTGTGAGCAATAGGTCAGAAACCATTGACCATGGTAGCAGGAAATCCTTGATTGAGGAAAACGTTGGACATATCTGAGGCCCCCTTGTGGAAGTTGGCATCATCAGTACAGGATCAGCAGGGAGGGAGAAACTGGGGGAATGGGATAGAGTCCTTACAGTAAGTAGGGTGTGAGGATATATAGCCCAGGTAACCGTGGGAGTCAGTGCGTTTGTAATGGATATCGATGGCCAGCATATCCACAGAAATGGAAACAGCGATGTCGAGGAAGGAAAGGGAGGAGTCAGAAAAGGACCAGGTGATAGTGAGATGGTGGAAGTTGGAAGTGAAACTGATTAATTTTTCCAATTCTGGGCGAGAGAGGCAAGCAGTACCAATTGATGCCATCGAAGTACTGGAGAAAGATTTGTGGGTGGGGACCAGAGTGGAACTAGAACAAGGAATGTTCCACATATCCCACAAAGAGACAGGCACAATGGGAGCCCATGTGGGTACCCATGGCCTTTCCTTTGACCCAAAGAAAGTGAAAGGATTTAAAGGAGAAGTTGAACTTGGCCAGGCGGAGCAGGGTGGTGGTGGATGGGAACGGTTTAGGCCTTATTTCCAGCAAGAAGTGGAGAGCCCTGAGACCACCCTGATGGGGGATAGATGTGTAAAGGGTTTGCATGTCGATGGTAAAGAGGAGGCAGCTGGATCCTGCAAACTGAAAATTCTGAAACTGACATAAAGAGTCAGAAAAATCATGAATGTAAGTAGGGAGGGACTGAACTAGATTGGCCTGCTTGTTTTACATCTTACCAATTAGAATAGGATACTTCCGACAATAAATATTAACTGGTTAACTTGGTTCATTTGCTTGATTTTAGTGTGACAGGATGTTGCAAAATGGAGACCTGTCATTTGTAATGTGAGTTATTCCATCACACAGGACTTCCCAGTTGCTTCACACATGATGCAATGTGTTTGAAATGTAGTCACTTCTGTTATGTAGCTGAGGTAATGAAAACCCTGTGTTATTTCCAACCTAGAGGCTTATAAACAGTGACGCACATCGTTTATCTGCATCAGAGACAGCAGTCATTAATTTATAATGTCAATTTATGGATAGTTTCCTGTCTGAGGAATCAAGTTTAATCAGCTCAGCATGTGAAATTACACAAGGTCCTCCACCAAGGAAACATCCAAATTCTCAGATTGAAAGTAAGTTTTCATACTTTCTGCAATTTTATAACCTTGCAGTTTACAAAAAAAAGACAACATTGAGATTGTCGTACTTTCACATTGAGTGAATGAATTACCTTGTGTGATATTGAACCACCCATTCTCCAAGGTTTGAGTTCCAGTCGGGATTCTGTGTTGAGTTTGACAATCTCAACTCAAGATTGTGAAAGCGGTGCTGGAAAGGACCCTTAGTATCCCTGGGATGAAAAGGAGAAAAATCAGTATTTTTTTGTGGCATTTAGTGATTCCTGTTGAAAAGTGCATTTCATGTGGAGGTCCAATGAGGACAGTTGACTGAATAGCCAGGAGTTAAAAGAGATCAGAATAGTATGTGCCGCTGTTGGCATTTTTGAATTGTTTTGGACTCCATTGTAGCATCTGTCCTGATTATTTTTATGAGCTTACCAAATAAGGTATTCATCCCCATTTATCAAGTGAGATCAATTGACCAAGCACTGAACAGCTTTCTGCTGAAGTTTTAGTTCTGTTCGTATTTGATGTGTTAGCACAAAATATCACCATTGGACATTATTTTATGGCAGGTTCCTGTGTCAGCTGTGCTCACTATTTTCTGCCCCACAGGCTGTGTTTCTATGACTGCTTCCTAGTATTACTGTGTGGGATATTTGGTAGGCTGAATGACCTATTTCCACACCATAGGAATTCTATGAAGGTAGTCTACCCTGGGCTGCCCTTAATCTGACCCCATAGTGTTTAGTGACTCTCCTTTACAATGTATTCTTTGATCTGCGGAAGTAAGTAGGTTTTACAGCCTTTGAGGGAGTCTCTGAACGATTTTATACAACAATAGCTGTAATTGCCAAAGTAATTTATTCTGATTTAACAAAACAAGCATGAGTAACCTTCTGAACTGCCACTTAATGTAGTTTTCTGGCAATTACCAAAGCCCTTCATTTTAATTAACTTACTACCCTAGCTGTTAATGATTTCATGGTTCTTCAAATGCATTCATTCCATTTTCTTCTGTTACATTCTTAAACTGAAAATTGATACAATAACACATGAACCACAACTAGGCATTCACAACACTGGCCAGTGGAAGAGGTTATTATGATTTCAGCAAGCCAGGAAGGACATATAGAACATAGAGCTGTACAACACAGTACAGACCCTTCGGCCCACGATGTTGTGCCGACATTTATACACGCTTGCTTTACAGTTAAAACAGAAACCAACATAGGACTGACAATTTGGATCCAGTCAAAGGTCTCACTTTTTAATCATCATATTAATATAGTGAT